AGTCATCATGTCTTCCAGTTTGGACCCGTTAGAACTACTACTCACCCGGTCTCTATTACCTGGAGGTACATATACACCATTGCGGTCATTCCTATACCCCTATCTGTTTTGCTAGTTTCCTTGAGCTCTATTTGCTGGCCTTTCATACTGACCATCCGTAGCATAGCTCCGACCTGCATTTCCAGAATTGTAACCCTGATTTCCAGAGTTATAATTCCGGAAACCTCCTTGATTTCCCAAATAGTTAGCTTCCTCATCAATGCCAAGATCCTGATCTTCATACCTGTGCTGCTGTCCCACAACATTCACCTTTTCAGACTTGACAACAATGTGCTTTGTGAGCAAGTCTATTTGAGTCCTCATATGTGCCATGTCTTGGTCCCTTTCTTCTTCTCTCTTCCTTTGATCAGCTGAAAGTTCAAATGTATATCCGAGCTCTCCTACCTCTGCATCTCTTGTGTACCATGCTCTGTTGTTCTTTGAGACCTCATCTAATAGCTGCATGCTTTCTGCAAATGGCTTCCTCATAAATGAGCCTCCACAAACTGCATCAACAACAGGTTTAGTAACATAATTCAGAGACCTATAAAAGGCCTGTTTAAGATGCCTTTCGGTAAGATCATGGTTGGGACATTTCTTTAACTTTTGGCTGAACCTCCACCAAGTATCATGCATGGCTTCTCCTGGTAGTTGCTTGTGTGTACTAATCTCGTCCTTCATCTGCAGCTCTTTTGATTCTGGGAAGAATCGTTCCAGGAAAGCTTCCTTCAACTCATTCCAAGTTCTGATGGAGTCATCTGGTATCTCATTCAACCAGTTAGTCGTCCTCCCGTAAGGGATAATGGAAACAACCTCAATCTCATTGCTGTTTGATTTACCCCAGGAATCTCTTGTGACTTACAGATAGCCACAAAGTTCATCAAGTGCTGATTTGCATCATCACCAGCGGCACCCCTGAACATACCCTTAAGGTTCAACAATTGAATCATAGTGCTGGTGATTGTGAACTTAACACCTGGAGGTAGTGCAGGTAACACTATCGCTCCAGTGGCTCCAGCTCCATCCAAATCTGCATCATCTTCATCATCATACATCATATGCGCTGGATGCTGAGCTCTACCTCTTGGAGCTATTGGTTGGCGCTGGGGAGGGAACAATCCATCAACTCCTCTATTCTCATCTACCACCCTAGGTTGGTTGTTACCGCCATTCTGCTGAACACCTCTTGCAGCGACTTCAGCTTCTAGTCCCAACCTTTGTCTTTGTGCCTCCAGTTCTTATGCATTCACCATTTTTCGAAGAGTCTTTTCGAGTTCTGAGTCCTAAGGGATCAATGGAACTCCTTTACTCCTGGTACTTGGCATACACAGTAGCAATCACCTGAAAAAGACACAAACATAAAACAAAACGTAAAATTAGGAAATATAACTACAAATTGAATAAAAGCTAGTAAAACACTTCTGAATTGAAATTCCCAGTAGCAGCGCCAAAATTTGATACGTCCAAACTTACACTCCTAATAAGGAATGTAAACGATCGTTGTCAATTTACAGAACTCAACTAGAGTTGAGGTCGATCCCACAGAGAATTTCTTTACAGATAAAGTTTCACTATCGCATTTACTCAATTGTCGTTACTATTTCCTAAACAATTAACAAGGAAAGTAAATTTTGGTTTAATTGAAAAGTATTCTATCAGCAAGTACTTCCAGTCAAAACTTAGTTACACAGTTCACAAATGATATCGTTGTAAGTTGATTCAATCAATTTAAAGAAACCAGGTTTTGTGTTCACTATGACGACGATTATAACTCTCTTCCGTAAATTGAGTGTCAAGTAAATCAATGTTTACAGACTCTTAGCGACTTAGATAAATCTAACGCTTCTGAGCCTAATTAGATAATATCCACTCTAATTCTCTCGAACTTAAAGTGTTATCGATATTGGACTTCGCTTAATTTAATCCGGTGTTAAAGATCCCTTCTCTCGAAATCCGACCTTAACTCCAATTCGTAAACTTAGTTTAGCTTTTTCCCAACTGGTGCTTTTCTCTCGAACAAACACCAAATACAAGCCTGTCTAAAGCGTGCACTCAATAGACTAAAAATGATAATGAAAGCTGTAAACTACTAGTTGTAATCAAAGATTGCCTTTTTACTCATTTTAGGGAATCGCAACTAGAATATCATCATAGATCCCACACACCCAGTCATGACATTTAGCTACTCATGTTTTTATGCAAAGAATCAATCATAGATAATGAAAACATATTAAGAATTACTTACAAAAATAATCGGTAAATCAACAACCACTTGATAGTCTCAAGATCGAAAGGAACTCTGTCCCACCGAAGACAATTAATCTCAATCTAAAATCTCCCCCCTCAAGTTTCTTTTCGTTCCTCCTTCTGTAACGTCTGATGCCACATAATCCCCTAAAAAATGACCTAAAGTAATTCAAAATAGAATGTTTAAAATGAGTCCTAATCAAGTTAGGACTGAGTTTTCAGGCTTTGTCACGGGCACTACCACGACCCGTCAAGGGATTCACGGATCGTGAAGCCCTCCGTGGTCTTGCCTTGGATCTTCCCCAGAGTGGGTCTTCAAACTTGGTCGCTGGAATGTACACTTAGTCGTTGGAATGTACCACGAGAGACACCATGGTCCGTAGTGAGTGTCACTGCCCGTGAAGTCACTCGTGTTCTTCACTTGTTCAAACCTTCTTGTAACTCTTTCCTGCTTTTATACTGGTTTAACTTCACGGTAGGTACCACAGTCTGTGTAAATAACAACGGCCCGTATACCCCTCCGTGATCTTTACTTGGTTGTTCCTGCTTTTCATCTTTTCAGGTCCCAGTTCTGCCTTACTTTCACGAACTCAACCACGGACCGTTATGAAGTTAACGGTTCGTTACATTGGTCGTGAACTTCACTTGTCGACATCAGTTCTGCTTCTTTTTCTGTAAAACCCAGATTCTGCCTACACAATTAACAAACCCATAAAATAATCCCGAAATATCACTTAATTCCAGTATTAGTTCATAGTTATGAAGCGTCAAATGTGCTACGATTTCGCGGCATATCAGTAGCTCACAACTAACTTGTGTAGAATGATTGAGTGTTTGGCACTTGGCAAAGCTTTTGTCAGAACATCAACTAGTTGATCATTAGTCGAAATGTGATGGAGTGTAATGAGGCCTTCTTGCAGTTTAGCTCTAACAAAATGACAATCCATCTCTATGTGTTTTGTCCTTTCATGAAACACAGGGTTCTTTGCAATGTGAACAACTGCTTGGCTGTCACAAAACACAGATATAGGCAAGTTACATGGCAAATCCAATTCAGTCAGCAGCCTCTCCAACCATACTAACTCACCCACCACTTTTCTAACAGCTCTGTACTCTGCTTCAGCTGAAGATAAGGATATGGTTGTTTGTTTCTTAGATTTCCAACTAATAGAGTTGTCCCCCAACAACACAACATAGCCACTTACTGATTTTCTTGTATCAGGGCAGGCAGCCTAGTCTGAGTCACAATAAGCAGTAATTGAGCAATCTGTATTATTGGACAAATGTATACCCATGCAAGGATCACTCTTGAGATATCTGAGAACATGGTAAGCATCCTTGAGATGTGGTTCTCTAGGATTTTGAAGAAATTGACTGAGGTGTTGTACACTGAAGGCTATGTCCATTCTTGTGTTGGTCAAAAAGTTAAGCTTACCTACTAACTTCCTGTAGTGTGTAGGATCTTTCAACAATAAACCCTCATTTGCTTTAAGTTTAACAGTGGATTCAAGAGGTGATTGAACAGGTATGCAATCTGAACAGTCAAACTCTGTAGCAAATCTGTAGTAAACTTCCTTTGAGAGATTAGAATCCCAAATTCCTTGTATAAAATTTCCAAGCCTAGGAAGTATTGTAGTCTTTCCAAGTCTTTAATCTTGAACTCATTATGTAGATAACTTTTTAAAGAGTTGATTTCTGCAATATCAGTGCTTGTTAGGATAACATCATCAACATAAACAACAACAAAAACCAAAGAGGGACCAATCTTCCTATAGAACAAAAAGTAGTCACTGTCTGAATGAGAGTAGCCTCTTGAGCACAAAACTTGTGTCAACTTATCATACCATTGTCTACTTGCCTACTTCAATCCATACAAGGACTTCTTGAGTCTACAAACTAACCCTGCATCTTTCACCACGAGGCCTAGAGGTACATCCATATACACTTCTTCATGTAAGTCTATGTTGACACCCAATTTTGGCTCTCCACATTTGTTTAACTAAAGTTATAATAATAATAATAGTAATAATAATAATAATAATAATATATATATGCTATGAATCTTTGTAGGAATAAAAAAGATTTTTAATTATTTATTTTATTTGATAAATTTATTTCATAAATACTATTTTTTATATAAAAAATTAAATATTATATTACTACTTACTTTCTCATTTTTCAAAATTCACGTAAAATAAATATTGTTTTTTTTAAGGGTTAACTCGATTTTTCTAAATTAAATATAATTTCTATTATAGCGATAAATATTTTTTGACACATTTTCAAAATTAGGAAAACTTAATTAATTAATGAGCTGCTAATTTATATTAATTTTATTTTTAGAATCACTAATTTTAACAAATAAGCTAGTCTTGCAAAATTATTATTTTTAATTTAATAAACTATGTCTATTTAATAAAGAAGAGGTTAAAATTTAAATGAATTTAATTTGAGCAATTTTGGCAATCCAAGTCCCCTTAAACCGGTCAATCCGTGTGTGCCACGTAGGCGAGCACATGGATTGTGCTTCTTAACTTTTAATCTCAACCCTCTATTTTAATCCAACAGCTTTAATTAATTCATCTTTTTAATATATATAATTATTACCAAATATATTATTAATCTTTTTTTTTAACCTTTGATTTTTATTAACCGTCCGATCAAACATCGAGATCAAACCAAAGACTAAAAGACCCCTACTCTACCACCACCGCCCTATACTCTGTTCTTCTTCCAAAATCACATTCACATTTTCATCTTACCCAAAGATCACCTCAACATCTTCTTTTTTCCAGAAAATCGGACGCTCCAGGCTCCTCTCCATCACCTCCCCCACGTGCTCCCCCATCCCCCTCGTCAGAATGGCTCTGGTCGTCGGAAAAACGCCTTATCAATCACTCAATGCTTTCAAATCCACCTGAAAAGGCGATTCTTGGGGGATTTTTCTCCCCCTTCATCATTAGTCCTCCCGTTTTGGCTTTTCAAGAATTCAAAGTTTGAATTCTTGAAGCCAATAGAGGTTGCGATTTTGGCAATAAAAAGGAGCCATTTGGTTCCTTCTAAGGACGAGAAAAAAAAGGATCCGGAAATCAGTTAAAAAACATCCAAAAATCGACGGGAAAAATCCATCAACAAACTGAAAACATCCAGAAAATCATAGAGTTTCAGAAATAAACAAAAGGGTAACACAAAGCTTTTAGAGTTCGAAAGTTCGGTTCTGAATTCGAGTTTTGAGGAAGTTAGGAGTCGAAATCTCTTGACGTCAAAGCTCTTGTTTGCTGCTCCAAAAGAGGTACATTTTTGTTACTCTTTCGCTTTTATCTTGTTTGTTACGAATCAAACTGATCTGAGTTGTTGTATGTGAAATAGTGAACTGTTAATTTGAATTAGTGTCTTATTTTCGCCATGACTTATCTTATTCTGAAAACTAGCTGAATCACTGTTTCGTTTTTATTCAAAATAGTTTGAATGTTCATTGTTATAGAACCTCATTATGTTAGACAAATCTTTGTCCTATTATTCTTGCGCTTATTTTCGAGTACAAATCAATAGTTGCGGCCTGGATTAGTAGAGTTTAATTTGTTATGATCGTCTTGCAGAATGAATGATTCTTTCGTTTCTATTCATTTGGTTTTCCCTTTTGGTATTAGAGGTTGTCCAGGTTTAGTTTGGTTGTGTAATTGTGTTGTTTTCCAGGAATTGTTGGTACTGTTTGTCGTTTGCTGTCAGATAGTATTATGACATGAACATGCCTCATCTAAGTTATATTTGTCTAAACACATACAGTTAAGACCATTAGAGTCATCCTAATCTGTCTTGTTACACCAATTTTTTTTAGCTTTAGTTTATTGGTTCACCTTTTAGCTAAAAATATTTAAGTTAGAAAGTTTGGAATGTGTTCGCTGCCCAAATATCTGCATGTTAAACATTTTTGACATGGATTGATGAATATTTGCACGTTAAAATCTTTCTCCCTGTATCAATCAAGTTTTGGGATGGTAAATATTTCCCCTGTTTTCAGTTTTAAAATGGTGGCATGATACTTTATTATCGTTCTGCTCTAAATTAGTCTTAATATGAATTAGCACTCAAATGACTAAGCAGCCGCTCGACTTTCTGCCCCCTATTTGTTTTAGACTTTTGGTCTTAAAGTTAGTAAAGAAGAAAAGAAATTTTAATTTTGTTGATCAGAACATGTGAAATAACTCATAACCAATAGCATTTCTTTACTCTGTCTACTTGGTGTATTTTAGTTAGTAATGACTTTTGTTGGTTGTCCAATGATGCTTTCACGATGCTTCTCTTAGATATTAAAATGGGCATATGGACGGTTTAGATATCTGGACGTACGATAGAACATGAACAAATCTATGAATACAAATGTCTCTTTCTATTTACTAAAGTGCACTACTTATTTGCTGAAAATTGGCAGATTTCAAATTGCACATTGTTGTTGTCTCATCTTATTGTGAAATACATGAGATTAATTTTTGGTCTGCTAGCTTGTCCTAAGTTTTTTTTTTATTTTTTATTATTATTTTTTGCACATTAACTAGTTGTCTGTAAAATATGGAAACTCGCGGCTGCTTATGTTGTTAATATAAACTTGAGTTGAATCGGCTTAAAAAGCGCAAGACATGTTTATATTTCTGCCTTTGAGTTTTACAGCGATTTCGTGAGATGATTTGTGTTGCTCTCTGCTGTTAAGTGACATTCATGTTTAGGACTTACCAACACTTTTCCTTTGTGTGTTGAATCGCAGATAGTAGGAAAGTGTTCTTGTCTTTCTTACGACTCATTTTGGTTGATCTGAAAACACATCTTAGACAACCCTTTTACTTGCCTGTAGTTTGGATCAAGAAGTTTAGGCTTGATAATAAACTATAATGAACTGACATCAACCTAAAATATTTTCTTATATATATGAAGAAAAATATATATGTGAAGTAGCAGCTCTCTTGCATCTAGAAGATGCCTTAACTTATTAAAATCTAAGCACATCTGCTTAAGATTGCTTATCCAAGAGTCTGCATACAGGCTGAATTAGAATGTTATTTTTTTTGATAAACTCTTTTCATATTTATAATATTGACGGCTTGTTGTATTAATTCATAGTAAAAATTACGTGCTAACTTTCCTATTTTTTTTATTTTTGTACATGTACACTTGGGAGCGCATTTGGAGTTGTGTTATAACTCCATCTCTCTCCAAATTAGAGAAGCTAATGACAACCTGCATTATCGCTCGTGTCTAGCAGCCTTTTTCGCGTCAATAGTGTCCAACGCTTCTTTCTCACTTCAAAGTTTCATGTGCTTTATCTAAATATATGTGTTGCTATTTTCGACTAACATTTTCCATATTAATGTTTTTCGTATTTATATTTATGCTTGCTTTTATTTTGTTTGGTTTGGAACAACTAAGAACGATGGTAAAGTATAGTCGTTCACCCCCACATCCCTTTAGGTATTGGGTTTATTATAGTTATTTAGTTTAGAATGACATTTTTCAACTAAATTTATTTGTTACTTGACACATTTTTGATGGTTATGAAAACATATCTTTTAAAGAAGTTCACACGGGGAATAATATTTTTAACTGTTGTGAATTTATTTTCAGATTTTTTCTCTTTATAAACAAGTATTTAAAGTACAAGTTTTTAGCAACTTAAAGTTTGATATTTGGGTCTCAAAAGTGCAGATTTTGGTGGTTCAAAGTGCAGATTTCAAGGTTAAATATATCACCTTTCTTGAGAGTTTAAGAGTGGTATATTGAGTCTCAAAAATGCAGCGTTTTGAGCTCAAAAAGTGCAGTGTTTTGAGCCCAAAAAGTACAGCGTTTTGAGCTCAAAAGAGTGCTGAATTTGAGCTCAAAATGTGCATGATTTGAGCACAAAAAATGCAGATTTTTAGCTTAAAAAACTGCACCTTTAACAAGCTTTACAAAGCAGTTTTTTTTTTTCAAGTTTAAAAAATTATTTTGCATAACTTAAAGTATAGATTTTTTGAACTAACCGTTATTCTTCGAGATTTTAAAAGTACAATAGTTTGGGGTCCAATGGTGCTTTAAACACTACTTTCGAAAGGAAGAAGAAACGTCATTTTAAAAGACTAAAATGGATGTTATAAAGCTCGCTAGAATCGTTACCTTTTTAGTCTTAAAAACACACGGCTTAAATTATTCGTTCCGAGAAGGACCAAAATATTCATTAGCTTTATCTATAAACTCTCACTTAGGATAAACTCTCACTTAGGACTTTATGTTCAGGAAAAACTTATCCTTTAAAACTCTCAAATGATTTTGAAACTAGCGTAAGGCTAAAATTGGTACCGTTTTAGATTATTTTATTTTTTTAATAAGTAAATAAATAAGGAAGTAGGTCTATATATTTTAGGGAAAATTGTGCATAATGGCAAACTATTAATTTAAAATAAATAATATAACTACTGTTTCATTTATTTCCTTTGAGTAGCTACAGTTTCACATATCTTGCTACTACTGACGGGTCTCACGATTTGTATAGGTAAATAAAAAGAAACGGAAGTTATTCCTTTTATACAATTCACTTCATCTCCTTCCTCTCTCCCATACCCTTCAATTTCTCCTAAATTCTCTCCACAAAATTAGTTTGAATTTCAAATCTTCACCACTACGCTCTCAATCGCGACTTCAAAAATTTCAGGTACTGCCAAAACCTGTCTATATTGATTTTTTTTTCCAATTTTTCAGATCCAAGTTTGAAAATGACCCAATTAGAATGGATGAAATTATCACAAAGTCAAATACAAAAGGCGAATCTAGTTCAACAGAGAAGAGGAAAGCAAAATCAATTGATTCTACCAGTGATCAGTCAAAATCATCTGAAGACAATGTCCCTGGCTTAGTGGACCGGATGGATCTGAAGAAGTTAATGTATATGTATAAACAATAATTATTGAGTTCTATTTTATGATTATATAATAAGCCCATTTGTATATATGTAGTAATACTTTCTCAGATTTATTATGTTTATTTGTTTGTTTTTACAGTATTTGTATAATTTTTTGATTATTTGTTGTATACACCATTATCATGCATATGAATTTCCTTTATACAATTATATGTTGTATAAAAATTAATTGTATATATATAACAATTGTTTGTATATAATTTGTTGTTTGTATATGTGTCATAGTTATATATATGTGGTAATTTTGTTTATATACAATTACTATGTTTTAGTTTTAGTTTGTTTATACAGATTCTATAAATTTTGCACAAAAGACACTGTATATACAAGTAGCAGTAGATATTAGCATTTGTTTGTATATAATTTTTCGTTTGTATATTTTCCATAGTTATACATAACAATACATGTCTGTATAATATCTTTAAGTATATATATGTAGTAATTTTGTTTATAAACAATTACTATGTTTTAGTTTGTTTATACAGATACAATAGAATCCCAACTAATGAAGAAGTCATAGAAGGAAAGAAATCCAATTAAAATATAATGTGCGTGAGTTTAGCGATTTTCTTCTTTTTTTTTGTGACAGAAATTAACGCATTTTTCTTTATTTATTTTTTAAAATCAAATTGTATATAAATTGGCAAGATTATCAAAATATACATATTAGAAAATCACAACAAAAAAAACATATATTTATACAAATTATAGCCAAGTCAATTTAATATACAGATTTTAAATATATTTTATACAAAGTATATCTACATATACAAATTACAACCATATACAAATATTCAATTGACAAGCCTAACATAATAGGCATATACTTATACATATTGTATATAATATACAAACTAAATTATCACAACAAAACACGAACCTGCATTGAATTAATATGCAAGTTCACAAAAATTGAACCACAAAATATAAGATTATACAAAACGGACTAAATCATATACAGATTCCACGTATATACATATACATAGAGTATGTGTATATATAAACTACAACTACAAATAAATATATAATTGACAAGCATAACATAAAAGACTTATACATATACAAATTGTACACAATATACAAACTAAACTATCAGATATACAAACTAAACTATCAGAACTAAGGACGAATTGACACTGTATATATATACAGTTTCATTGTTCATTCATAAATTCAAATTAACGACAACAAATATACAAATCAAAACAAACAACATAGATTACTATCATAATATACAATCCTGTAAATTAATGACTTTCAAAAAATAAATCTACTTTCAAAAATGAAGGATAAACAACAATATCTTCCGCAACATTATAGAATCACATTTTTTTGCAGAAATAAACAGATGATCTTACTCGAATTCGAAAAATACTTTCAAAAATGAAGGATAAACAACAATATCTTCCAGAACATTATACAAGCACAATTTTTTTGCATAATTCAACGGATGATCTTACTCGAATTCGAACAATGATTGCGACTATATGAGTTAGAATCTATTACATCTAAAAAAAATACAATTCAGATTGTTCATTCACTTGATGAATGTTTAAAAGCAAAAATGAGTTTCAATACACGAAAAACACCAATTTCGATATGTAAAAAGTAAAATCAAAGCATTTTTCGGCATTAAATACATTTTACTTCCTCTTGTTATCTCTAAAATTGATTTGATCTCGATTGCTTGAAGAGAATCACCAAAACTTGATCGATGTGATTTACCCAGTTACAATGGAGTCACTACTGATGAAGAAGTCGTAGAAGGAAAGAGATCTTTTTGCGTGAGTTTAGCAATTGTCATCCTTTTTTGTAACATAATTTACAGCCTTTTATTAAATTTATTTAAAAAATAAAATTGTATATAACTTCAAATGAATCCTGAAATATACAGATTAACAGCTTCATAGCAAACATAAAATTTCCTATGGAACGCAATTATGCAAACTATAGCTATAGCATACAAATAGAATTTTTTATCTTTGCTATACCTAAAATTTCCTCTATACTTTATTAACAAAAATAAATGTATAACTATAGAATAAGTCCCAATAGTTAGGTACATTTTATATTCTTGACATCACCCCTTTATGAAAGTATATTTGCTATTGTCACTTTTTTTTTTTAAATCAAATATTACTAAAACATTTTTAACATGTTATTTCAAGATTTTAGATATGCCAACAGGTTCAAATACAAGGTACATACATATATATGTCATATGCAAAAAGGTACACATCCTATATATGTTTTTTTTTTCTCTACATGTAACTTATTATTTTGATACATTTCATATTTTTTTTTTCATACCTACTATCACTTTTACAGATGTTACTTTTTTTATTTTTTTTATATAATTTATAAATCCATACACTTTAACATACACATTATTTTACTACATGTTTGCAACTCGACTACTATATCATTTTATTTTATTTTCTTTCACGTCTTAATTCTATATATAAATTAAACAAGAAATTTTTATATCATTTGAACTCAACATTTATTTTGGATACATTTATATAAAACACATCTATATTTTCCAACATATAAAATTATCATACATTTTAGTACATTTATTTATTTACTACCGTATGATAAACATTTACTATTAATTTTATAGACATATATATGTCGTACCTTGTATTTTACCCTTTTTTTCTAAAAATAATAAAATTTACTTACCATTGATTTTTAAAGAAAAAATAAATAAATAACAAGTTTTCCTAATTATATTTTTCTAAATTGAGTTTTAAGGACTATCTTCGGATAGGCTCTGAGGGATACTTAATACCTTCCCCTCGAGTAACCAAAACCCTTACTCAGAATCTCACTGGTTTCACAAATCAAAACAGAGTTTACACTTACATATAAAAAAATGGTTTTCTTAATATTTCCCTTAAAATTTAGGTGGCGACTCTAACACAATTTTTTTTTTCAAAAATCAGAGTGACAGCCATATTATGTTGTGAACTGTTTCGAAATAGGGGTGCATTAGTCTCCATGAAGGAATGCATTGTTCAACATCCAGTTGAAACATATCCCAACCCCTTTTAATAGCTATACTTATTAAAGTCCTAATTGTCGTCAACTGGGGAGAAAGTCTCATTGTAATCAATGCCAGCTAATTGAGTGTATCCCTTCACAACAAGTCTATCTTTCAACCTTTCTATTGTGCCATCAACTTTATGTTTAACTTTGTAAACCACCTGCATCCAATGGACTTCTTCCCTATGGGCAGTTTAACAAGGTCCCAAGTGTCATTGGCATAAAGAGCTTTAAATTCTGATGTCATTGTTGCATGCCAAGCAGGATCAAGTGATGCTTCATCATAAGAATGTGGTTCATTGTCATGTAAAAGACTTTTAACTGCTTGTTGGCTATTCTGTCCAAGACATGTGAGGGGCAGATAATTTTCAGAAAAAACAAAGTGAGAAAAAGGTGCTGAAGGTGTTGAGGATTGGTGTTGTAAGGAGGGCAGGTAGTGGTTATATTCTTTCAGGTAGGTTGGTGTAATGTTAGGTCTACTAGACCTTCTCAGGTTTGGTATTTGATCTAGATGTTGAGTAGTGGTGTTGGGCAAGGGGTGATCAATAGAGGTTTGGTCATTTAGTGGTGCAGGATTAATATTCAGTGAATGAACAAAACTTGGAGGTGGTGGTGTTTGTGAAGGTACAGGTAAACAATGACAACAAAAGTGGTGTCATCATCCAACACAGAGGTTTTGCTAAAGACACCATAAATGAAATTTAACATGCTTGGATCAATATTAAATTTTTCAATGCTGTTGCAAAACTATGATCAGACTCAGACTCATAAAAAATAAGAGAAAAAATATTTTCATGGAATGTCACATCTCTGGAAACATGTATCTTCTTGGTGCTTAGGTCCAGAACCTTATAACCCTTTGTATTGAAAGGGTATCCAACAAATATGTAAGGTGTGGTTCTTGGATCAAATTTAGTTTTGTCGCTTTTTAGGGTAGGGAATCATAGACACCCAAAAGACCTAAAGTGGGAGTAAGTAGGATTTTGGTGGTAAGGCATCTCAAAAGGTGTTTTGTTATGAATTACTGAATTGGGAAGTCTGTTTAGTAAGTAGGTGGCTGTCAAAATACATTCTCCCCAATATGTAGTGGAGAGTTTGGACTGATACAACAGTGCTCTGGCAACCTTTAAAAGGTGCTTGTGTTTCCTTTCCACAACACCATTTTGTTGTGGTGTATAAAGACAAGTCTTTTATTGTATTATTCCCTTGGTTTGGAAGTACATGTTGGTTTCATTGTTAGTGAACTCTGTATCATTATCAGTTCTTATTGACTTGACATTGGTGCTAAACTGATTTTCAATCTGAAGGATTTTACAACATGAAGGGTGTTGCTTTTGCAACTGAGGAGGTGAATTCATGTTGATCTAGTGAAATTATCAACTATGGTCAAAAAGTATTTGTAATTATTATGTGCTGGAACATGATAGGGTCCATATGAAGGAGATCAAAAGGGTTGGTGTTGGAAACAATGGTTTTAGTTGGAAATGGGAGTCTGGCCTGCCTTGCCATGGGACATATGGTACATGTAAAGGGCTGTTTGGGTGAAAAGTTTATGGGAATAGTGGGAATGCCTTTCATTTTAACAAAGGGGACATGACCTAGCCTATTATGCCACAAGTGATCAACATTGTTACCATGAGACATGCATGACATAACATGATTATTTAAGATAGGAACAACAGCATTAGAAGTACAAACAGGAAACACAATATTATTCTTCAAACATGTGGATCTTACAGGTGAGGCAGTACAACCTGTCATACTAGAAGTATCATGTGAAGTACTACATGAGTTCTTAGGAGAGACATTAGTAATTGGTAAAAAAGGAAAACAAGTAGGTAAAGAACTAGGTGCACTAGCTGCAATACAAGAAACATAAGTTGATGCAGCAGGAGGGGAAGTGTGGCATTTTGAGCATAGAAAATAAAGTCCATTGTGTGCTCTACCAATCTCCAGAGGGCTCTTCAGTGAAGGGCCCTGTATCAGACAAGAAGAATTATTGAAACTGACAGTCCCTTTTAAGTTCAAAATCAAGCAGTGTACTGAAATTAAGTTGAATTTGAAACTATGTACAAACATTACTTTATGCAAATTGAGTGAAGAATTCAGACATGCATCACCAATTTCTATCACTTTTACTTTGTAACCATTTGAGAGAGTAATTAGGAAAGGATGGGGCAAAAGTCTAAGGTTAATGAGAAGTGACTTTGAGAAGGTCATGTGGTGTGTTGCCCCTGAGTCTATGATCCAAGAATCAACATGAAGTTTTAGGCATTTACATGATAAATTCCCAATAACAGAAAATGAGGAGTAGCAAGCTAGAATACCTACAAAGTTGACAGCTCCACCATTGGGATTGCTCGCAGTTTCCCTTGTAGTATTGTTGCTTCCTTGAACCTGGATGTGTTCCAACAAGCTCACCAACTGATTGAATTGTTGTTGAGTCAGTGCTTAGCTTGATTGTTCATGCAATTTTCCCTTTCCCTTGCTCATTTCATTAGTCTTGGCAGGAGTATCACCCATCAGTTCTTCAGAGAATCCATGAGCAATGGCTGCTGTTCCGGCATTCTTACCCTTAGTGAACTTAAAGTCAGGAGGGAAACCATGGAGTTTATAACACTTGTCTTTGATGTAGTCAGTCTTCTTACAATACTCACAAAAGAGAGTGGACTTATTTGGAGGTATACTAGTTCCCCCAGTGTTCTTATAAGGGGTGTAGTTAGTCCTAAAGTTGGTGCTGGTACCAGCAACATTCACATGAAAAGAAGCTGAATCCAAATTGAACTTGTTGTGAGGTCTGACCTCCCTCTGTTTCTCCTCTTGAACAAGAATTGAGAAGGCTTGAGCCATGGTGGGCAATGGATTCATCATCAAGATGTTACATCGCACAATAGTGTAAACTTCATTCAGTCCCATTAGGAACTGAATGAGTCTCATATCTTGCTCAGCTTTGTGCATTTTTTATTTACCACCACAAGTGCACAAACATGTGCATTGTGAATTAGTGTCCAAGGCACTAAGCTCTTCCCATAGTTTCCTGATTCTGGTATAGAAACCAGTGATATCTAGGTTCCCCTGACTAAGTTCGTTGATTTCACAGTGCAATTGAAACAATTTAGCTCCATTAGTTTGATCGTACCTGTCCTCCAGTTCATCCCAAAGTTCTTTCGCATTGTCTACGTACTGCAGGCAATCTCTGAGATCCTTGGATAGGGAATTCGATAGCCAAGATGTCACCATATCGTCGCACCATTCTCACTGAGGGAAGGTATTTGAATCTGGAGATGGTTTCTGTATCTTGCCATTGATGAAACCTATCTTATTTTTTACAGATAATCCACGAAGAACAACTCATCTCCATGAGCGATATCTAGATCCATCGAATAGAACTGGAACAATTGTGGATTCGGCATTTTCAGATGGATGAACATAAAATACACTGGTCAGATCTGCAAAAACATGAATTGGAGCTTGATTCCCAGTCGAAGTCTCTTCCTAAGAGCTATTTTGTTCCATAATGTGCAAACAGATCTGTTTGTGAGTGAAAAAGAAAGAGAAAAGCAAAAATTGGTGATGAATTTGCGAACACAAAAAATCAGCAGGAATTGAATCGTTAATGATGAAAATTGAATCGTTATGGCTCTGATACCATATTATATTTAAGCAGAACTTATGGAGAATGTCAATTCTCCATTGATGAATGTTGAGCTAAGCTTTAAGAGAGAACAAAAAAGAAGAAAATCTCTGCAATTTGGGAATAAAAACTTGACTTCATTCAATGATCGATGTACTGTATTTATACAAAACAATATTAAGAAGATTCTAGAAGCTAACTAATCAACCTGCACAGTATTCAAGGAATAACCAATCTAACTAACAAAATCATGAAAGGTTAACTAACTTATAACTAACTGACTCTGCTCAGCTAAAAACTAATTATAAAACTAATTACATTTTGAATAAAATATAAACTATATATCTCAACAAGACTGTATTGTATTGTATCGTATCGTATTATATTGTTTTAGTGAATTAATATTGTAACTTTGCTTTTGGATGCAAGGTAAATTAGAGAAAGTTAGGTATGATAATCCTTGAGATCTCGATAATCCTTCTTTAATTGGTAGACTTTTTAGCTTTTTGTGATCAGTGATGTATATATTTGGTGAACCTGCTCGGTGTGCTTAGCCAATTCCATATTTGTTATAAGTTATTAATTAGCCTTTTCATTACTATTGTGAAGTAGTAAATACATTGAGTAAAAACTCATTCACATCGGAGTGTTTATATCAATTCAATATTGTTTGACATATGTTGAAATATACAAATTTATCGTTTAATCATGATTAAATATTATATATTTTTATTTTATTAAATTATATTAATTTAGTGTAAAAATTTGTACATCAATTATAATAAATATTTTAAAAATTCGCTTCATACACTCAATCGAGCTTAATATTAAGTCTTACTGCAGTGTTCATATTTCTAGTTAGAAAGAAAAATCAATTGGTTTTCTTGAAATAAAATAATTACTTTTGTTTTAATTATAGGAAATGCAAAAGTAGAATTTAAAAAAAATGGATTTAAATAGGGATAATTGTACAAAATGACAAACTAATAATGTTAATTAAATGAACTAACTACCATTTCAGTTATTTCCTTTAATAAGCAAAATCTTGGTCACTTTGCTATTATAGGGCCCCATCGATTTGTATAATTTATTAAAAAAATAAAACAAACATTTTCCTTTTCCCTTTCTTTTATATAATCTCTTCTCCTATTTCCTTCATATTCTCCCAAATCTTCTCCCCAAATACAATTTCAAATTACAAATTTCTCCAACACGTCCTCATCTCGTTTTCAAAAGAGAAACGTTACTTCAAAAATTTCAGGTACCACCAAAACTCATCTCATTCTATTAATTTTTGTTAATTTTTTTCAATTTAAATGTTTTTGTATATATAACTTATTTTTTTCAGTCATTTACTGTATAATCATTATTTTTTACATTTTTTGTGCTGATTCATGTCTTATACTATTTGCTTATACAATTGTGGTTGCATAAATGTATAATATTAGTAGTTATTGTATAATGTTCCTTTAAACATACACATTTGCTCACACTTATACACTTATTTTTGGGTCAAGTAAAAAAGGAAAGATAAAACTGACGTTTATACCAGTGGCGGACCCAGGATTTTCGTTCAGGGGGTTCGAAAAATAAAAGTATAAACGTGTAAATAAGCCAACAAAATAAAATTTCAAGGAAGTAGTAGTATATAGTTTATAGGTACAAAAAGTTAGTTTCGTTACAAGAAATCTGAAACTAACATGAGTGATTACAGTGAAACAAAAAGTTAGCCCTTTACAATATGTCAATCTAGAACTAGGATGCTAAGTAGAGCAAAAAATGGAGCTAACTAGAACAAAAAAATTAGCACTTCGTAATGTCTTACTCTAGGACTAGAGTGCTAACTACAAACTCCAAAAAGAGGTCAGTGCTAATACTTCTCAAGCACGTTTACAATACTATTCGACGAGGTTTCATTGCTTGAAAATACAAAATAATATCATCCGTTGAAACATCCTTAAACACATCTTTCTCCATAAAAGGAACCATGCAACCGCTCAAGAAGTCATCATTCATTTGACTTCGCAACTCATTCTTAATAAATTTCATTCCCGAAAAAGCTCTTTCAACGGATACAATGGCAACTGGCAGAAGCAAAGCAAATTTAACCAAACGAAATATAAGAGGATAACATGAATGTTTTTTTTGTCTGAACCAATCTTTTTGAAAGATCACAAAGCCCATGTAAATCAGAGAACCTTTTATCGATATCACGGACATCAATAATGTAATTTGCTAGTTGATTCTCAAGTGCACACATGCTAAGTTCATCAAAGTCATCAGGATATAATTCAGTCATTCTCATTATTTTCTGGATATCAAAACTTGAAAATGAGTCTACCGGATTCAAACAAGCAACTCCATAAAACAACTCGGTTGTCACCTCATCAAAACGATCATTGAGTTCTTGCAATTGCCAACCAATTATTTTACAAAATACTTCAACACGATAATGATGAAAAACAGTATAATCAGCAGATTTACGTCGTGATCTTCCAGAATTAACATACGGCTCATCAAAATTAGGCACTACAATATTATACTTGATACAAAATGCAGAAACCTCAACAACAAATAAATCCCATCTTTCATTTTCCCTCAACTCTTGCAGCCTTCTCTTGGCCACTTTAACAAGTAGCATGGCATTTGCAATGTCTTGCTCCTTTTTTTGTAAACATGTACTAAGATCATTAGTAATTCCTAAAACTTCTTTCATCAAATGCAACATGAATGCAACCTCATAAGTTTGAACAATTCTGATATATCCTGTTGCCCTGGATCTTTCATCCATAGAATGTGCAGTTTTAACAATATTATCAAGAATGTCCATAATTGTACCAAACTTGAGAATAAAACAATTAAAAGATTTGAACTGAGATCCCCAACGAGTATCGCAAGCTCTAGAAATACCAACTTCTTGATGCAAGCCTCTACCCGTTTTAAGCTCACCCATATCAAAAGCTTCTTAAATTTTTTTTTTTTGAAATTCTCGATAATCATCCATATGTTTATAAGAAGCCGCCAAAACATTAAAAATATTTGAAACCAAATGAACAAGTTCTCCAACTTGAAGACATCTTTTAGAAACACCAACAAGAGTTAATTGAAGTTGATGAGCAAAACAATGTATGGAATAAGCCGATCTACTTTCTTTCTTAATCAACATCTTAAGGCCATTGATATCACCTTGCATATTACTTGCTCCATCATAGCATTGTCCACGCACATAAGATAGACTCAAGGAATGTTGAGAAAGTAAATTGACAATTGCTTCTTTTAGAGATAAAACACTAGTATTTTTAACATGAACAAAGTCAAGAAGTCTTTCCATCACAAATCCTCTTCTATCAACATATCGTAAAACAACCGCCATTTGCTCCTTGCGTGAAACATCAAAAGATTCATCAACCAATAAGGAAAAATAATCACCATTTAGTTCCTTTATGATGCCCTTAATTGTTTCAATCTTGCAAGCAATTACAATATCTTTTTGAATTTTTGGACAAGTCATTTGGTCATTTTGAGGAGCATTTTCCAATACAAACTTACGAACTTCATCACACTTTTTGAGCATAAAATGAAAGAATCTCAAAGAAAATTACCTACTAGTTAAAGTGATAATTTAGATTCATCATGACCTCGAAATGTCAAGCCTTGTTTCACAAGAAATCTTACTACATCAATTGAAGCTGCTAAGCGGATCTGATACCCATGCTTATCTTGATTAAATTGTTTCTCAAATGAAGCATGAATGGATTGTTGTTGTCGCATTAGATCTTCACATTTTCTTTTTGACTGATTGTGAATGCTAGTATGCCCACCAACATGTGTTTGCAAACTGCTTTTTTATGCCAACTTCTAAACTCCACACTCGAAAATGTTTCACCTCCGCCTTGAAGATTGTTATTTTGCTTGAATAAAATAACAATACAAACAAAAGGTTGCATCTTTACTTATACTATACTCTAACCAATCAGGAAATTCATCAAACCATTTATGATTAAAACGACGCACATCTCCAAAAATGTTTGTTTGTGGAAACTCTCTTAATAGAGGTTGACAAGGTTTTTTTGGAGATAAGCTCTTCTAATAGCGTCACGATGATTTGGATGATATTCCAAGATTTGAGTTCTTTCACCTGGATCAGCCTTTAAAGAACTTGAATCAAATTCTTGAGAAGAATGTGATGCTACTTCCAAATGATTAGCATTTTCTTCCCGATTAGGTTGATTCTGAGCAATAGAGTTTGAATTGGATACTTTAAAAAAGTACTTCTCCATTGACTATGAATCTATACAAAATAGTTAATTGTTAAATGCATTAAAGATAACTTTTTACAAATTACATTAGATATTACCATCAAAATTCAAATGGTTCATCAATCTAGTTACGACTATCAAAGAAAGAATAGAAAAAACAATCAAAAAAATTTCACAATTTAAAATGAAGATAGTCAATATTCAATCAAGAAAGACAAACTTTTCAAGAAAATGGAGAGAAAAACTTACCTTGGAGAAAAGACAAACAATCAACTCTTTTGATTTTAGCTTTGAGCTTCCACTTCAGATAATCAGAGATACTACAAGTCTACAACCTTAAAAAATAAAGACCCATTTAATTTCTTGAAAATTGAAAGAAAAGAAGAAGAAGAGAAAAGGGCTTTTACCTTTTAAGCAATAAGCATGAGTTTTGATTTTTCATTTCGAATTGAATGTGAGATCCAAGCATGAAGTATCAAGTATGAAACAATCAACAATAGAATATTATGGTAGATGATTTTAATATTTGAGTTTTTAGTTGGGGAAGAACAAGAAAGTGATTTAGGGATTTGGAAAGTGAAAAAGTTATTAGCTTTTAGGAATGGGAGTATGGGACCCTTGAATTTTTTGAGTTTAACACCACATTTTAGCACATTTTATTTTTTAAAAAAAACATGAAAATCGGAACTGGAACTAAAAAAAAAAAAAAAACTAAAAGTAAAAAACTAAAAAATAAAACGCTAACCTAGGGATTTGATCCCTGGACGTCAGGCTTAACTTTGAAGGGAGTTGCCACTGGGCTATCTCCTTCACTTTGTCATTGAGAGGGTTCAAAATATATATATCCACATAAATCCAGAAAATTCACCTTATATATACAGTGTAATTTTTTATTGAGGGGGTTCGGGTGAACCCCTTGGACAACACGTGGGTTCGCCCCTGTTTTATACTGATCACAATGATAAAACTGAAGTTGTTGTTTGTGGGTCATTGGACTGTATAATTATGTGGGTCATTGGACTGTATAATCATTATTTTTATATTTTTTGTGTTGATTCATGTCTTCTATTGTTTGCTTATACAATTGTGTTTGTATAAATGTATAATATTAGTAGTTAGGAGCCGTTTGGTTGCTGGTTAGAGTTATGCAGGTATTAGAAATACATGTATTAGTTATGCATGTATTAGTAATGTAGGTATTAGTTATGCAGGGTTTAGTTATGCAGGGTTTAATAACTTCTTTGGGTGTTGGTTTGTTATGTTAAAAGTTAATAAACATTATATACTTCTTAAAAATAAATTATTTGTCCTATTGAGTTTGACAAATTTATGGACGGTCAACTGCAGCTAGAACCTTTTACATTGCAACCCAAGTTCACTAATTCCATGCTTTCACCGCTTCAAAAAACACTAGAACCTTTTACATTGCAACCCAAGTCCACTAATTCCATGCTTTCACCGCTTCAAAAAACACTAGAACCTTTTACATTGCAACCCAAGTCCACTAATTCCATGCTTTCACCGCTTCAAAAAACACTAGAACCTTTTACATTGCAACCCAAGTCCACTAATTCCATGCTTTCACCGCTTCAAAAAACACTAGAACCTTTTACATTGCAACCCAAGTCCACTAATTCCATGCTTTCACCGCTTCAAAAAACACAAAAGGTAAAAGATAAAGTAGAAGAAATAACGAGTGGGACAAATTCTCATCTATAAGGCATGTAAAGAATGTTCAATTTCATATCAATTACTCAATGTGAGAAATTTTAGCAGTAACTAAGCTCAAGTAGATGCTATAGTTGAAATGACTGGAAACATATTGTTCTATTGTGCAATATCAAATTCTCTGAAAAGATGAACAATCATTCTAGATCTAGAAATGTGTAAAGATGATCTGAAAGTTTTCTAAAAAGAAGTGAAGTATATTTGATTGAGAGTGAAGGGTAGAGTTGTCAATTTGTATTTTTATTCATGTATTAGTTATTCAGGTATAACTTATTCCATCTACTATAAAAAAAAAAGACTGACTAGCGAATATACAGAAAGACACATTCGTAGCCAACTAAAATTTTGCTACGGACTGTAATTTTATAAAGTTTTTGCTATAACATACAATTAGCAATTTTTAATTTGCTATACGTAAAAATTTCTCATTTAAATACGAGTAAAGCCCACTTATTAAATAGAAAGTTGCCAACATGAAAAGTTTAGGCCCAAAAGTGACCCAAGTCCAAAACAAAACAAAGTCAACAAACGGATGATAAGTTCATAAAAACAAAAAAAGGAAATTAAAGGACGTAGAATTGTTTTCATGATGTTGTCTAGATTTAATTTTATCAAAGAAAAGGAAGAATGTGATGTTATAGAGAGAGAAAGGATGGTGAGAGAGAGAAATGAATGTTAGTAATACTAACTCTTAAATATTGAATTTTTTGGGGAAGATCATATGAATTTGATACGAAGTAATTAATATTATGTCATATTTAAAATACTTTTAAATTAATTAATTCAAAAATAATAAAATTGATAATTTACTGGACGATTGTGGAGCTCAATTTATCTTCACCAAACAAGGTACATAGCTTGAAAAAGCATGAAAATTATATTTTTGATTTATGTGTGTCATTGTTATACAAGATTCATGCTAATCTTCACTATATGATTTCACTTTTATCGAATATTTCCCAAAGGGACAAGAACACACACTTAGGTTGAGGATAGTGAATGATAAAGTTCATGAATAAGATGATCCATCAAGGGACTTTTATGCACGAGCTACTTATTGCGGGGGCTTGTTGATGGCCAATTATTGATAAGTTTTGCACAAACTATTTCTATTTTAGGATGATTTTTAATTTTGTTTCTTTAATTAATAGTAATCATTGAATTTTTTCCCCAATTGGTCATTTAATTTTAAAAAATGTAAGCTAAAGTATTCTTAACTAGTGCCTTGTCCAACAAAAAAATAAAAAATTAAGAGATATAACTTTGTGAGTTCTGAAGTTGAATTTATGATTTGTTATAAGACATATATGTCTTAAATTTTTTTTCTTGTAAGACATAACTTGTGTGTTGTGAATTTTATCTTGAGATTTTTCAATGTTAAAGGCATTTTTGGACACTTTTTTGTTACTTAATGTGTTGAAGAGAGAAAAAATAAATTTAATGGACAAAAATTAAAAATCATCTTAAAATATGAGCATTCATGCCAATGACCCATTTGTTGTGAGGTCGTGTGGAACTTTGTTTGAGAGCGATTATTGAGGTGTGTGAGTAAAATTTCATATTAATAATTAAAAATATTGTGAAGCTATATATAAAACATGTGAATATTCTTAATATAGTGTATAGTTTTTTTTATAAAAAAAAATTCACTCAAGCCTAAATTCAAAAGGTTATTAATATTTTATCATACTATATTAAAGATATATTTAAAATAATTTAGCACAACAATTTTGTCAAACTTCCGGTCAATTCAAAAGGATATTAATATGGAAAAATTACTCAAATACACTCTTATGTTTCCCTTATTTCTAATATTCCCTTCTATTTCTAAAAACCTCTAAAATCTCTTATTTCTCTTCTAATTCTAAATTATTTTATAATGTATCCGAGCTAGTTTTTAATGTATCCGAGTCACGACCCAGACCGTCGTGATTGGCACCCACACTAACACTCCGGTGTGAGAACC